GGACTTTTGGGGGGTGTGATTGATGGTTTCGTGGCTTCAATTTCTAGTGATGTCGTATGTTGCGCTTTCCCCAATCTTTTTTTCGATTTCTCGCCGTCGTTCTCTTTTCCTTTATTTATCAAGTTCCTTCTCTGACCTCCTGTTCAAGCTTTTTCTTTCTCTTCATTTTTTTTCTTAACATGTTTCTGTCCCAACCTTTTTATTCTGTCCATTTCCCTCATCATTTCTTCTTCCATTATTTTATTCCTTCTTCGATCCTTCTCTCCTCGTTTATCGTAGCCTTTACCCTTTCAGCCGTTCCGCAGCCTTTGCTCTCTTTTTAATCCCTTTAATTTTGCAACGTGGATGTATGGATAAAATAAAAGCAGACATTGCAAAAAGCTTGAACCAGAGTAGGTAATAAATTAGGTCGTGGAGTTCAAAAGTAATCTCTTCACCTTTGACCATAGACACACAACAATAAGATAGAACTAGCGATCGCCAATTTGATTGGAAAAAAACCATACAGAAAACGGGAAATCCAAAATTCTAGCTTATTGCGACCTTGTTTTTTTGAAACTCAAGTATGGCATTTCCATTATCTAACTTACAAGTATTGAAACCTTGACCCATGATTCTTCTTTTGAGGAATTCAAGAACGTATTTGTTTGCTTTGATTGAAAGGGGAACGTGGAATTCAGTTGGAAGGTGGACATAATTCGAACACCTGCACAAGGGGCGAGTTATTGTTGAGTGATTAATTAGTTTGTTATTGGCGCCTCGTGGCCAAGCCGAGTTGCATTATTTTGATTACTTAAGCGTCATAATCAATGACCTTTGTAGATTCACAGTTTTTTTACCGGCACTATAAATGTCATGGTAATACTGAAAATGCTTGATAAAGATGAGAGCCATATTGTGTTTTTTGGTTTGCTTGTTGCTGGTGAACGCTAGACCGTCACGAGATATACCCGGTGAGTAAGCAAGGTTGACGCGATGGTGCCAATGATTGTCAAATCTAAAAGGAGATGGGTCCATTCGCGAATGTTACGGGTTCCAGTGTCCAGCGGGAACAGTTAGCTGCAGCAGAAACAGCGAAGTTTTGTCCCGCTCGAAGGAGAAAGTGACAGTTCAATGCGTGGACACTCATGGTAAGTACCGCTGGCGCAGTCACTGTACTGCAACCTCCAATCTTTCAGGTCAAGTCTTGAACTCGATCACCAAAACCCACAGACGTCATCTCGACAAAAATGAGTATATAGTTCCAGTACTTGATTAATATATAAATTAAAAAAATTGATATGGCTAGATGAACATTGTAAATTATCGAGTTAGTGGATGTATGTCAAAAACTGTCAATAAAAATTAAGCTTCAGTCTTGTATCCATTTTGTAAATATAAGCTTGTAGACAGAAATATTGTGGTTGGTTAAACTCTTTATTTCTAAAAGAATATTTGGTGACCCCGAAATTTTGAAACGTATCTACCATGGATGCCCTTCAGAGAGCCAGACGACTAGTTCGGAATGGAGCTAAAAAGAGGATAGCTGAGTTAATCAGACTGTTCCAAGTGGAACCAATTTCGAAGGAAAGGATTCAATTTGTCCTGAAGACACCGAATGAGGAACAAATTAATTTAGCAGAGTTAGACCAGATTTTAGGTCAGATGGTGGATAATGGAGTTGACGAAACGGATCAAGACACGGAATATGAAGCTATTATAGAAATGAGACAGCAAATAATGACAACTTGTTTTAAAGCTGAAGAAATCATAGAATCTTTGGTACCAGTCGTATTGTCCCCGTCCAATATTACATTTGGATCTGAAGGTGGAGCAAGAGGATTTCGATTACCCAAGATCGAGTTGAAGAAATTTTCAGGAGAGTTCAAGGATTGGTTAGGATATTGAGCTCAATTTGAAAAAATTGACCAAGATAGTTCTTTGCCCGTCAGTGATAAGTTTCAGTATTTACTTCAGTCACTTTTACCTGGAACCGATGCAGATGAGATAGCAGGTAGCTATCCCCAGTCAAATGAAAACTATCCTAAGGTAATTGAAGCTCTTAAAAGAAGATACGGGAATGAAGATTTACTACTTCAAGTTTACATTAGAGAATTATTAAAGTTAGTCATTTCTAATGTGAATTCAAATGACAAGATCCCTTTTCAAATGTTACATATTAAGCTAGAATCACACTTACGAGCACTGAAAACACTTAATCTTGAAAAAGCTGATCCTGCCACATGGCTTTATCCATTAGTTGAGTCAAGTCTACCAGAAGAGATTCTTTTGACATGGCAGCGTAGTTCTTTGGCTGTCCATGATGGAAGTGAAGATACACCTTCGAGGAACCGCTTAGACCTGCTCATGGAATTTCTGGATAAGGAAGTAGGGATCCAACAGAAGATTAGTTTGGCTCGAAAAGGATTTGGAATGGAGATCAAGCCAAAGAAAGCAAATGTTCAAGCTAAAAACAAATTATCTCAACCTACCCCAACCTTAGCTTCTTGTCATGATGGAGATCAATCTTGTTTATTTTGTGGGAAGAGTCATGGAAGCAAAGAATGTAGTAATGCTAAGAAATGGCCACTTGAGAAGAAAAGAGATGTACTAAAAGAAAAACAAGTTTGTTCTTCATGCTTCAAGAGTGGACACCCGGCTAAATTTTGCAAGAATAAGAAGAATCTCAACTGTTTCATTTGTGGCGGAAAACATTATCCTGTCATGTGTTCTAACCTTGCTGATAAATCAAAAGGGAATAAAGTTACAGATTATACTACATCTGCCACTGCCGAAAATATGACCGGATGTGTGAATCAGATTTGTAGCAAAGAAATAGATCTACAGACACTTATAGTTCGAGCAAGATGTGGAACTAAGGAGAAGACAGTGAGAATATTCTTAGACAACGGCTCCCAAGGATCCTACATTTTGAAATCAACTGCTAAGGACCTAGAACTAGAAGTAAAAGGAACAAACAAAATTACTCATTCACTCTTTGGAGGCACTCAGACGGAAGTGATTACTCACAATATACATCATGTGACATGGGACAAGATTGGTGGAAAAGGATATTCATGTATCATTGGAGTACGTGACGAAGAAACGATCTGCAACTTTATCCCACGTGTTTCAAGTAACTCTATTGTAATTAAAGAGTTGAACAGAAAAAAAATAAAGTTGTCAGATGTGGGAGATGGATGTCCTCCAATTGAAATCTTACTTGGTGCTGACGTTTATGGGAGACTTCTGACGGGAAAAAAGATAACACTTTCCAATGAAGTCACAGCAATTGAAACTAAGTTAGGTTGGACGTTATGTGGGAGGATGGGTGAAAGAGAAGATAACTTATCAATGTGTCTCCTGTCTATGGCTATTAAAGATGCATCGGTTTCACAGCTTTGGGATCTCGATCTACTTGGAATTCGAGATGAAACTGATGTGATATCTGTGGAACAGCAAGAACAAGAAGATAAGCAAAAGTTCTTCAACTGTTTGACAAGGAATGCAGATGGGAGATATGTTGTATCCCTTCCTTGGATAGATGACCACCCACCACTACCTACAAATTATGAAGTTGCAAGGTTACGTTTAAATCATGCTACTAAACGTTTGGAAGAAAATAAACTGTTTGAAGAATATTCTAAATTGTTTCAACTTTGGAAAGACGAAGACTTTATCGAAGAAATCAACCCTATTGTCTGTGACAAGAAAGAAAAGGTTCACTATGTTCCCATCGAGCAGTGATCAAACTGAGCAGTTCTACTACCCCGGTTAGACCTGTTTTTGATGCCTCATGTAAGGTTGGAAAAGGACCTTCATTGAACGAGTGTCTTAAGAAAGGAAATAACTTTATCAAAATGATTCCTGATATGTTGTTACTGTTTCGAGAAAAGAAAGTGGGATTTGTTTCTGATATTCGCAAAGCTTTCCAGATGATTGAAGTGAATGAACAAGATAGAGATTGTATGAGATTTCTTTGGTGGAAAGATAAATCCAAACAACACGTAGTAGAATACCGTCACAAACGTGTCATGTTTGGTACGAATTGTAGTCCCTTTATCCTTGGAGCAGTCTTAGAATTTCATTTGGTAAATGTTCAGAATGAAAACAAAGACATTGCCCAGAAACTGTATAATTCTTTATACGTGGACAACTGTGTCAGTTCTGAAAATACCGTGGAGGAGTACAAGAATTTTCGAACAAAATCAGTTCAATTGTTAGCTGAAGCTGGAATGGACTTGAGACTTTGGATGTCAAATGTAGATGAGATGGAAGACAAGAATAGTCATGTGATTTCAGTACTAGGAATGCAGTGGGATCGAGTTTGTGATGAATTGTATGTTGATGTGAAACTCCCTACCTTACCTGAAATTATCACAAAGAAAGTTATGCTGTCTATTGCCCATCAAGTTTTTGATCCTATTGGTATTGTCTGTCCAGCTGTGCTTCCAGTGAAAGTCTTACTTCAGAAGACATTCATTAACAAATTGAATTGGAAGGAACCTGTCCCAACCGAAGAGAAAAATAAATTTACGGAATGGTATGAACAACTACATTTGTTAAGTCAAGTCAGAATTCCTAGATGTGTAACTGGAGGTGAATTTGATCGAAGTAAATGGTCATTTCACGTTTTTACGGATGCAAGTGGTTTGGCGTATGGTGCTGTGATCTTTCTCCGCGTGGAACATGTGGGAGGAGTTTCAATACAACTGATTTCTGCTAAGTCTCGAGTTGCCCCGATTAAGAGGATAACAATTCCACGTTTGGAATTGTTAGGCTGCTTAATTGGTACAAGATTGGCTGTTTCTGTGAAAAAAGGATTAATAGCTGAGGATATATTTACTATTTTTTGGTCTGATTCAATTACTGCATTAGCCTGGATAGGAGAAACAACATGCGGGGTCAATACATTGGGAACAGAGTGAAAGAAATCCGACATTTGACTGATCCTACACACGGCCCCTTATAGGTATCTAAAAAATCAAAAGAAAGTATGGATCATCATATTCACTTGTGCAATGTTTCGAGCTGTCAGTTTAGAAGTTGTCAATTCATTGTCCACGGAAGCCTTCATTGGAGCTTTCAATCAGTTTATTAGATTAGAAGGAAGACCGAGACTTGTGATGAGTGACAACGGAACTAACTTTCAAGGATGCAGTAACTTCTTCAAATCATTAGATTGGAAAGTTACTGGAAAAGATACTGTTTTAGAAAAAATTCAGTGGAAATTCAATGTTGCTGCCGCTCCGTGGTGGGGTGGATATTGGGAACGTATCATCCGGATCCTGAAAGATATGATGAAACGATCTATTGGAAAGTCTACTCTCAATAGGAAGGAATTAGATGAGTCATTGCTTATTATGGAAGAGGTGATCAACGGGAGACCGCTAACGAATGTTAGTGAAGATAACGACGAATTAGAACCCCTAACTCCCTCCATGGTTATGTCAAACCAATGTGAACTCAAGTTTCCGGAAGGAGAGGATTCTGAAAATCTGAATTATCGATGGAAGTACATGAAGAAACTGAGAGATGAGTTACGACAACGTTTTCGAAAGGAATATTTGTCCCAGCTCATAAGTAGAATAAATCAGAAGCCATCTCGTAAGTTGGAATTAAATGAAATTGTACTTGTTCGAGATGACCGGAAGAAACGTGTATTTTGGCCCTTAGGTCGTGTTATGGAATTGATCCCCGGTAAAGATGGAATTGTTCGAGTAGTCAAAGTGAAAACAGAAGTAGGGCTACAAACAAAACCTATTCAAAATCTGTACCCCTTGGAAGTGAACCCTTCGAGGACTACATTGATGACGTCATTGTTAACTGTAACGCAGATAGAAGTTGAAAGTGAATTGAAACCTGTGGTGTCAATTGTGGGAGAATGTAAATTATCGAGTTAGTGGATGTATGTCAAAAACTGAAACTGTCAATAAAAATTAAGCTTCAGTCTTGTATCCATTTTGTAAATACAGGGTGGCCATTTGAAAACGAAACAGAGCCTATTTTGGGAACCTCAAAACATTTACGAAAAAATCCTCGGACCCGTCAATTTTTGATTCAAGGGGGAACCATTTTTTTGCTAGTTTCGCCCCCCTAAGGGCAAAGCGCTAGCAGGGGTGACAACCGCCCCCAAAATTTTAAATCGAATGGGGGGTCGAGTGATACCTTATTTTGAAGGTATTTTTATGTGCATTATAACCTTTAACTTTTAAATCGCTACTAATTTGCTTAGCCGATACAGGGGCTAAATTGAATGTTTGGGCTGGCATTTTTGGTAACCAAATCCTAGGCCCCTTCTATTTACCTCGCAATCTAACAGGAGAGATGTAGCTGGAGTTATTAGAAAATACGATTCATCCAGCATTAGTGGAGATACTAGAAAATAACAACGAGTACTTGGAAAATCGTCTAGTATTTCAGCAAGATGGTGCGCCATCCCACTATGCTGCAGGGGTTCATCAATATTTGGACCAAACGTTTCCAGGAGAATGGATTGGAAGAAGAGGAGCTATTGAATGGCCTCCTCGTTCGCCGGATTTAAGTCCGTTAGATTTTTTTTATGGGGGCATTTAAAAACTAGAATGTATGCTAGTCAGCCAACATCTTTAGACAATTTGCGACAAAGAATAATTGATCAATGTCGTCAAATCACCCCAGGAGTTTTACAAAAAGTACGGGAAAGGTTTGAACAAAACCTGTATTATTGTATGGAAGTCGAAGGCCAATATTTTCAACATTTACTTGATTGAGTTTAGCTGTAAGCACTTAAAATAAAATTGATTTAAATCTTAAGAGTTATAATCTACATAAAAATACCTTCAAAATAAGGTATCACTCGACCCCCCATTCGATTTAAAATTTTGGGGGCACTTGTCACCCCCGTTATAGCTTTGCCTCCAGGGGGGCGAAACTAGCAAAAAAACGGTTCCCCCTTGGATAAAAAATTGACGGGTCCGAGGATTTTGTTTGTAAATGTTTTGAGGTCCGCAAAATAGGCTCTGTTTCGTTTTCAAATGGCCACCCTGTATAAGCTTGTAGAAAGAAATATTGTGGTTGGTTAAACTCTTTATTTCTAAAAGAATAAACATGTACTGTACTGAAAATAAAATTGTCTTTTTTTAAATTCACTTTGTATTTGTAAGCATCAAACACAATTTCCTCTTTGCTTATTGAATTTTATTTGTTACTTGCTATCTTGGTTTCAGAGATTTATTTCGTTTTATCGTCATTTTATTGTGAATTCGAGTACTACCATCTCAGTCTATTTCCAAGGTTAGCGTGCGCTTTCAGATTATGTAAGGAAATTCCGTAGAGCTCTAAGGAAGTCGAAGACTCGGGGTAAGTCAATATTACTGCTGATTTGTTGCGAGATCTTACTTGGAATTAACGAGTTATGTATTTATTTATTCCTCTCTTGTTCTGGGCCCTCAACCGGGCGACCAATTACAGAGTGACCCGCATAATGCTTTTTACTCGCATTTTGTATGGAATGAAATTATAACTTGAAACTAAAAGCATGTAAAGAAATTACAGGTCAAAAAACACAAAATGTAACCTACCTCCGATTAATAAGAGAATTATTTAAGAAAATAATAGTACGGCAGCGGTTTAAAATGAAATTGATTCAAACTCCATGTAAAACGCACAATTAACAGGTGGTTAAAGAAAGTGACCAGTACTTACGCATTCACCAAAATTCAGTTAAATTCTCCACAATGAGAGAAAAGTGTCCACAACTAATTTGAGAATTACACTACATCCAGTTAATCGCCAGAATATGATAATTCCTTTTTGCAATTAAACCAACAGTCAATTTATTAGCGATGAATATAACTATTTCTCAGAACCGATCGTATGATTTTGGTTGGCCCAGGTGGCGCGAAAGTGATACCAAGTTCTCATCGATACGGGTTCTCATAATTCCTTCTTTTTTGTATAGGTATAATTTTCCATACGATCGTTTTATAACATTCTCGGTCATTTTGACTGTCACATCTGGAACTATCAAGATGCAAGTAATCTGAAGCCTCGAGCCTGAAACGGTTGAGAGTTGAATGAAGCAAATGTAAAAGTTGGTTTATGGGTGAAACACTATTACTCAGATATTGCAAAAAGCTTGAAACGGCGTAGGTAAATTAGGTCGTGCAGTCAAAAATAATCAGTTAACCTGTGATCCTACACAAGAACAATTTCGCAAAGACATCGGACAACGACATCAAACGCAATAACTCCAAAATTCCACCTTATCTTTTTGGAAAACTCAGTTCCTAATTAGACAGAGTATATCTACGTCATTTCCACTATCTACTCCAAACCTTGACCTATGATTCTTCTTTTGAGAAATTCTAGAACAAATAATACGTCTTATTTATTTGTTGCGAATTGTTTTTCTCGATTGGAATGGGATCATGTGACCCATTTGAAAGGTGGATTTAATTTGAGCACCTGGACGAGGGGAGAGCTCTGCTTTGGTTTTTAATTAGTTCGTTATTGGCCGAGTTACCTCACGGCCAAGCCGAATTGCATTATTTTGATTAATTAAGCATCATAATCAATAACCTTTGTATATAATTATAACTGATAAAGCGATATTCCTGGAAGTTTTTTTATCGGCACCATAAATGGCGGCGAACGTGCACGAAAATATTAGTAATACTGAAAAGGTACGCCTGAACGCTTGGTGAATAAAGATGAGAGCCATTTTGTGTTTTTTGGGTTGTTTGCTGCTGGTGGACGCTAGACCCTCATGGGATATACTCGGTGAGTGATTAAGTTTGATGCGTTGGTGCTAATGATTGTCAATGCTAGAAGGAGATGGTCACGTCTCGAGTAACATTCGGGACTGTCACGGCCTCCAGTGTCCAGCGGGAACAGTTGGCTGCAGCAAAAGCAGCGAAACTTCAGCTGACTCCAAAACGGTGATGGCAACAATTCAATGCGAGGACATTCATGGTAAGTACCACTGCCGTAGTCACTATACCGCAACCTTCAGTCTTTCAGGAAAAGTCCTAAACTCGGTCACCAAAACCTACGCAAATCCTCACGCAGGCACTCACGTCTCCAGTTTCTCGTTTACCGGCGAGTACAGCGTGAACGGCGGACAAATGGTCGGCCATGACTCAGGATTTATGCACTCCACAAACCTGCAACCCGATTATCGCTATAACAAAGATCGTGATGGGCACGGTAACCATTGGGATATGGTGGAAACATTTGATGATTAATTTGTAAATAAAAAATGATAAGACTGGGTCTTTGTTTTTCTACAACCAACAGAATTGGAGCATGCTTATCAATTTCCTGGTTCCGGCATTTTTTGATTAGTCAGTATCGATTTTGCCTAAACTAGTAGGTAACTTTGATAGCTGTATTCACAGATCATATAATTTGCCATCATTTCCATTTGAGTAGTAACAATATAACAAGAACTATAACACACCTAGCTATTGTCGTTAGTTATGTAGAATAATGAACGTAGATATTAAATAAAAGCGTATTAAGAGTTAAATATGTAATGTGTGAAATACATACGTTAATCAAAATTATCTGTCAATCTACATAAACATTCTAATTCTAGTAGTCGCTTACGTGACATCTCCTCTTCCCGGGTTTCCCTTTTCATCATAATCACAAGTTTAGTCTTTGTGGTGCTTTGATAGCGCGTCTAGAGGAAATTGTTGATGTAGGGTTATCCGAAGAAGAAAGTGGTCTCAACATAGTTTTATTTCGACGATATAATCCTTCCTTTGTAACTACGGTATAGGATCTCGGAACTACGTTCTCTACAATTGTTCCCTCTTCTTGCCTATCAGGGATGAATACTGAGGAACCAATCTCAAGAGGGACTTCTTCTTTCGATCGATGACGTTGGTCGAAGTATTCTGCCTGTTCACTACGATAGCACTTGTCCCACTCACAAAATTGTTTATGGTTCACGATTTTTGGAATAAGTTCTTTGGTCAGGAGAGGAATCCGAGTGCGCAACTTCCTTCCCATCAGGAGTTCTGCTGGGCTGTATCCAGAAAGCCCGGGAGTGGCCCTATATTCTAGCAAGGCGAGAGTGGGATCCTTATTCTTGCAAAGAATCTTCTTGAGAGTTTGGACTGATCGCTCCGCTTCTCCATTCGACTGATGATATAAGGGGCTGCTCGTCACAATCTTGAAATCATAATTTTTTTGCAAATGTTTTCCATTCTTCGCTTGTAAATTGGGATCCAGAGTCGGAGACTACGACTTCTGGAATCCCAAAGCGGGCAAAACAACTCTTCATTTTTTTTATTAGTTCTGTCACAGACATAGTTGTGACATTGATAATATCCAAATACCTTGAATAGTAGTCCACCACAGCCAGATAAGTACATTTTTGGAATTCGAAATAATCTACAGCTATTTTTTGCCATGGGTACAAAGGAGTAGGAGAAGGGATCATCTTCTCGGTATATTGGCGTCTATGCTTGGCGCAAATGTTACAATTTTCTACCACATTACTTAATTCTTCAGTGATACCTGGCCAAAAAACAGATTGTTTAGCCCTCAGGAGTGTACGGTTTATCCCGAAATGACCGTCATGCAGTTTTTCCTTTATTTCTTCACGTAGCTCTGCTGGTATAATCATTCTTTCATTGTAGCAGACTAGACCATCAATAATTGTGATACCATTACGAAATGCGAACCATCGCTTCATCAACTCCTGTACATTCTTTTTGTGATCTGGCCAACCGTTCTCAACATACTCGACTAACAGTTGACATTCACGATTCTGACTTTGGGCGTTTTTAATTTCCTCGAGTCTGGATGGAGTTGTTGGGAATCCCGAAGAAATGAGCTTCGACTTTTGCAGTGAAATCATCCTCCGAATCAGGAAGAGGTGCTCGGCTCAAAGTATCTGCTGTAAACATTTCTTTTCCTGGAATGTGCTCAATGGTGTAATCGAATTTCATTAGCCTCATCTTAAATCGTTGAATTCGTATAGGTATGCTATCCAGGTCTTTACTGCCTAATAATGGAACAAGGGGTTTATGGTCGGTTAGAATTGTGAACTTCTTCCCCATTAGAAATTTAGAGAATTTTTCCGCTGCCCAAGCGATTGCAAGAGCTTCTTTTTCTATTTGGGCATACCTTTTTTCAGCCGATTGAAGTGATCTAGATGCGCACATTACAATTCGCAGTTTATCATGTTCATTCTGTAGTAAAATTGCGCCAAGTCCGTAAGCTGATGCATCAGCCATAACAGTTGCTTTTGCTGTTACATCATACCGTGTCAAACAAATTGATTTCTTAACTAATTCAATTATTTCTGAAAGAATTTTCTGATGATCTTGGGTCCAACAAAACTTTCTATTTTTCTTCGTAAGTTCACGAAAAGCCTCCGTTTTCCCTGCAAGGTTTGGAACGAACTTGTTAAGTTGATTTAGCATGCCATTCAAACGACGAATTCCTGATATGTCTTTTGGAGTAGGTAAATCCTCTAAGGCTCGCACACGATCAGGATCAACCCTTATTCCTTGAGAATCAATTATATTACCCAGAAATTTCACTGATGTTTGTGAAAAAGAGCATTTTTCTTTGTTTAAAACTACATTAGCATCTTTCAGTCTATTCAAAACTTGAGTTAATCGATAATCATGTTCTTCTGGCGTCTTCCCATGAATAAGTAAGTCATCCATATGACATAAGACTCCCTCTAGTCCCTCCAATAGTTTAGATATTTGAGCAGAAAAAAATTCTGGGGCTGATGTGATTCCAAAAGGTAGACGTTTAAAGAAAAATCTTCCAAATGGTGTAATAAATGTTGTTAATTTAGCAGTATCAGGTGACATTTTTATCTGCCAAAACCCAGATTGCGCATCCAATTTTGAAAATATTCTAGAGCTTCCAATCTGGCCCAAGGTTTCTTCAACATCTGGTAATATGATTTTTGGGCGTTTCACATTCTTATTCAAATCTGTATAGTCTACACATAATCGTAAACTACCGTTTTGCTTAATGACTGGGACAATAGGTGCACACCAATCAGTAGGCTCTTCGATTGTTTCTATTACTCCTATCTTTAACATTCTTTGCAACTCTGCTGCTACTTTAGGACGGAGAGGAATTGAAATATTCCGAGGGGCTCTAACTGAATATGGTTTAGCATCATCAATTAGTTCAATTTTGTATTCTCCTGGAATGTTACCTAATCCCATAAAAAGCTGGGGATACTCTTGTACAACTTTATCTAAGGCGATTGATTGAATATTGCCTGATTCATACGATTTTCGAACTGTGATTAGGTTAAGAGATTTTATGGCTGTAATTCCGAGCAAAGGTTCACTTAAACCAGGAATTACATATATTTTTTCTTTCACTTTCTGACCATTAAATTCTAAATCTGCCGTAAACATGCCATATCGCCCCGATGCCATCCGGTATCTTTCGAATCTTTTAAACCATTTTTCCCATTTTTCTGGGCACTGGAAGTCAAATTGAGCCGGTGGTTGAAACGTGATGTGTCGACGGCCGACCGATGAATTATCTTGTAATTCACCAAATGATTCATCAATATTCTTCTTATTTTTCTTACGACTCATGCTGCCACCATGTAGAATAATGAACGTAGATATTAAATAAAAGCGTATTAAGAGTTAAATATGTAATGTGTGAAATACATACGTTAATCAAAATTATCTGTCAATCTACATAAACATCCTAATTCTAGTAGTCGCTTACGTCACAAGTTACCCGTGGAACTAAAGAGAATTGTTGAAAGAGATAGCTGAATTGATCCTTGGATGTTCCAAACATTTATAACAATTAAGCCTTCTGTGACCTATCCAGTGTGATGTGAGGAATAGGTGGTGGGGGTGGATTTATATGGCTTCGGTATTCCAAGCACAAAAAATTCAATTAACTTACATTTATCGATGAGCTGAAATGAGGTGAAATGTATTTGGTTACTCGTTCAAAGTGAATCTCGCAAGATGATTGACGAATCTGAATCCGGCTCGGAGCCGTTCCTCGCAGTTTACTAGTTCCAATTTGGTTTATTTACTAGAATGGTTCCCAATGCTCGACAGTATGCAAACATCCAAAATTTCCCTAATAACTTAGAGATTTGAAAGCCAACAAAAGCACGAATTAATTGTCTTTAACCTTTTTACCGGTTGCCGTTTATTTATGTTATTAACACCTTGTATAATCTAAGTAGGTGCACGACTTCTATTAATAAACTGGTTTTTTTTATTGTAACTTGCCACTTCAAATGTAGCGCAACCAAATGTTTTGCACTTTGGATCCCGACAGTTTCGTGATAATAATTTTTTTTCGAAAACGTTACTCACTTCGCACTATACTTACGGTCTTTTATTGTAAGCAAAATGAAAAGTGAGGGTTGGTAAAGAAAGCAAGGAGGGTGTGAGAAATGTGTTTGGAGAATAAAGAAAGGACGTAAATGCGACGTGAAAAAGGGATTAGGATGAATGATGGATTCAGTGCTAGGTCTGCAAAAAGCGGGTGGAAGTGAATCAAAATTTAAGTAGTCATTTTGACAATACATACTGACGCTTGCAAATGCCCAATTTTTCTTACAAATCGAATTATCTTTAAAACTACTAGCTTTTCGGATATTAACCATATAATAAAAAAGACGTACAATAACACGTAGAATTCAAAAATGCATTCAAATACAGGGGGTTCTATTTAAAAAAATGTACCATTTGAGCGGCCTACTTTGTGGGCGCACCCTGTATAATTTCAAATATTTTTAAGATGTGGAGAATATTCCACCATATCATAATACTAAAGCACTCATCTTCAAAGCATTAAGTTACTCCGGGCAATCGTTGACTCACTCTGTACAGAAAATTAAAAAAAAAAACACTTGTATCTAAACTAACACTTTTTGCCATGAAGATACAATTCCAAGGGTAGAAAATACTATAGGTAACCAAATTAGTCACATGTACAACTCTTCTACACTTATTTTCCTCTTCGGTACCATACCTGCCCCACGATTCATGATTTTTTTCTCTTTTCCGTCTTTTACTTGTTTTCCTGGTATTCCATTTCGAATACTTTCAAAGGTATTCGAATACACTAAAAGGTCAAATACTTGTCACTCAAATATATTAAAAATTTAAAAATAAAATTTCTTATACAATCTGGCCTGTAGAATCCATAATTTCAATCAGTTCCAAGATTGGGCTACTAGTTCAAAAGTTACAGCCCTTTGAATTTTCTTTCGAAATTGGTTTCTAGTCCATAACTTTTGATTGAGAATTCTAATCGAAAAAGTACGAATTGTTTTGGATTCTACGCACCAAAATTAATAAGAAAAAGTGTTTTCCCGAGAAATTTTGGTGCAGTCGATTTTTGGTAAAAAAGGAAGGTTATACACTGCCTTTTTTTGAGCCCCGAAAAAAAAATTGTCTCAGATCGACCCGGAAAAAAAATTTTCTTATAGAATGTGGCCTGTAGAATCCATAATTTCAAACAGTTCCAAGATTGGGCTACTAGTTCAAAAGTTACAGCCCTTTGAATTTTTTTTCGAAATTGGTTTCTAGTCTATAACTTTTGATTGAGAAGTCTAATCGAAAAAGTACGAATTTTTTTGGATTCTACGCACCAAAATTAATAAGAAAAAGTGTTTTCCCGAGAAATTTTGGTGTAGTCGATTTTTGGTAAAAAAGGAAGGTTATACACTGCCTTTTTTTGAGGCCCGAAAAAAAAATTGTCTCAGATCGACCCGGAAAAAAAATTTTCTTATAGAATGTGGCCTGTAGAATCCATAATTTCAAACAGTTCCAAGATTGGGCTACTAGTTCAAAAGTTACAGCCCTTTGAATTTTTTTTCGAAATTGGTTTCTAGCCTATAACTTTTGATTGAGAGGTCTAATCGAAAAAGTACGAATTGTTTTGGATTCTACGCACCAATAAAATTAATAAGAAAAAGTGTTTTCCCGAGAAATTTTGGTGTAGTCGATTTTTGGTAAAAAAGAAAGGCTATACACTGCCTTTTTTTGAAGCCCGAAACAAAAATTGTCTCAGATCGACCCGGAGAACAAATTTTCTTATAGAATGTAGCCTGTAGAATCCATGATTTCAAACAGTTCCAAGATTGGGCTACTATTTCAAAAGTTACAGCCCTTTGAATTTTCTTTCGAAATTGGTTTCTAGTCCATAACTTTTGATTTTACAAGATTCTCGGCCATATCTGGCACTATCAGTATCAAGATGCAAGTAATTGAGACCTTTTTTTTTTGGAAAACTCAATTTCTACGTAATTTCCATTATCTAACTTGTAAGTATTGAAACCTTGACCCATGATTCTTCTTTTTGAGAAATTCTAGAACTACGTCTTATTTATTTGTTGCGAATTGTTTTCTTTGATTGGAATGGGCGCATGCGACCTTAATTTGAGCACCTGGACGACGGAAGAGCCGTGCTTTGATTTTCAATTGGTAACCTCTTGGCCAAGCCGAATTGCATTATTTTGATTAATCAATAACCTTTCTTTTTCTTTTCTTTTCTTTTTTGCTGATGAAGCGATATTCCTGGAAGTGTTTTTATCGCCACCATAGATGACGGCGAACGTGCCCGAAAATGTTAGTAATACTGAAAAGGTACTCCTAAACGCTTGATAAACGATGAAAGCCATATTGTGTTTTTTGGGTTGTTTGCTGCTGGTGAACGCTAGACCCCCATGAGATTGGGATATACTCGGTAAGTGAGCATGTTTGATGCGATGGTGCTAATGGTTGTCAATTTCAGAAGGAGATGATCGCGTCTCGAGCGACCTTCAGAACTGTCACGGTCTCGAGTGTCCAGCGGAAACATTTGGTTGCAGGAAAATAAGTGACAGTTCGGCTGACTTGAAGACGGTGACGGCAATAATTCAATGCGAGGATATTCATGGTAAGTACCACGTCTGGAGCCAGTGTACCGCAACCTTCAGTCTTTGAGGTAAAGTCCTAAACTCGGTCACCAAAACCTACCCAAATCCTCACGAGGACACTTACGTCTCCTTGGTGTCGTTTATTGACAAGTCCGATGGACCATTGTTCAAACACGACTCAGGATTTAACCACTCCACTCCACTTCCAATCCGATTATCGTCATAAGAAAAGATCGCGATGATCACGGTAACTATTGGGATATGATGAAAACGTTTGATTATTAATTTGTAAATAAAAAAATGATAAGACTGGGTCTTTGTTTTTCTACACCCAACGGAATTGGGACTGCTGTGTCCAGTGTGACGCGTATTCTCATTTCCGTATTTTAACCACAAAAAATTCCACTAACTTACATTTATCGATAAGTAGAAATATTCTCCAATTGATATATATTGATATATAAAATGAATTTGAGACTAAAACCATGTACCTACTTAATCAAAATATAACCCCAAATTGAGCAAACATTACACCAAAAATGAAAACGATTTCAAACAAAAAAATTAGCGTAGATGCAAAGAAAGTTAAAACAAGTTCAAATCAGCATATGCATGATTAAAGCGCATTTTTGATAATACCGATCATATTTTATTAGCGAAGTTTAAAATTACCTATCTCACGAGTAATCTAACTCGAAATAGACTAGAGCCTGCAAATCTACACTATAGCAGAGCGCTTTTAGTGAAAATTTAAAGTCTCTAGCTATCTGATATCTCAGCCAGACAGCCAGGCAGCCAGCCATAACGAATATAATAACGTATTTTTTTCAACAATGCGCTAAAAAGGTCAGAAGAGGCGCAAAGATGGTGTAACGAAAGGATGAAAGTAGCAAGGAATGGGTGTGAAAAAGGCGCAAAGGAGACCTGATGTAAAAAAGCGAACTCGAAAGAGGCATGAGGAAGGCGTAGAGAAAGATTGACACAGGGATGTGGCCGATGAATGCGAAGGGGATGAAAATGAGTAGGTAGCGAAAAAGCATGGAAGAATGAGTGAAAGCGTAATCATGGAGGAGGCGATTTAAAAATGCGTAGGTAAGGTGTGAACAAAGAGTGAAGCATTGTTGATGGAGCCTAGTAGTAGGTGTAAAAAGGTCTGAAACCGGCATCGCGGGATGAAGACGAAAGAGAGGAATCGAATTGTAAGCGGCGCTTGAAAGAGACGCGAGGAAGATGCATTAAAAGTAAATATATGTAGATATACGTGAAGAAATTGAGCTGGGCGGTGTAGTGTACTTATCCCCCAGGTTCTACGCTAACTTCACACTACAAGAACACAGAAATAAAGTCAATCCGACAACGTTTAAAAATGGCCACCCGAATGAAGATTCCCTCCAAAATTAAACAAGATCCCGGTTAAATTTGAAATGTCGCACGTGATAAAACAGGCAGGGCTCCCTTACGTTAGTTGAAGACAACGCTTGGACCTGAAGCACGGTAGGGAAGGAACGCACAATAAAACACTGAAATTGTAAAAAGTTTGTTTAATAATGATCGCAATTATTATGATTGTAAAAGCTCGGAAATTTACGTCGAAATAAATTACATTGCAAAAATAAACTTTTGAAAATGGTAGTTCACCGAATAAAAATAGAAATAGGCTGGGAAAAAAAGAACTTACCAATAAAAAAAACCAGCCGTCAAATTAATAGCAAATTGTGTCGTACAATTAATTGTTTGTAATGATGTGAATGCGTAACGTAAAATTATAACAACACAAAAAGTAGCAGATAAACTTCAAGATGTAACATATACGTTAAAAACAAGTTTTGGGAATTATGGGTCAGGTAAGCAGGTACCAAGATTCTAAGAAAGGGTGAAATACACAGGATGTGATTCATCTTTGGTGCAATAAAGTCCTTTTGTTAAAAGCAAGATGGAAAATTACATGGCCTTGTAGGTAAATTTAACTAAAAACAAGATATGTGGAAATTATTGAATCGCCACTCATTTATCGCACATAGATTCTAAACTGAAGAGCTTTGATTAGCGTAATCCCGCTACAGCAAGATAGGTAGCCCGCCCCTGGTTTCGGGGTTTCGAGCCTACAGTTGGATGTCGAAGACAATCACGGAATTAGGTGTCGACTTCAATTTTGACTACAGTTTTTTTCATCCCCGTGACTGCTTCATTCACGAAGAAAATTGTTAGTAACAAACAACAATCAAACGAATCGGTAATTTCCACATATTAAAATAAAATGAATAAGACTTATATGAATGTTACTTCACGGACAAGACCAATCAACATCAATAAACATAAATTAAGCAAGCATTACACCAAAAACGTAAACAATTACAAACAATAGCATAACGGTATCACATATGTGATTATGCATTGTGGTTAAACCAAGTAAATTTCAAAAACAAAGATTCAAACACACACAAAATATAAAATGCGGTCTACAAAACACAAATACGATATAAAGAAATGCAAAAATTACTACATGCATTAAAAAAAACACAAAATAACAACAAACATTTATGGAGCGACGCGTTCACGACCGCCATTAAAGACAAGATGCCCAACGTAACCCCTGTCCTTGCTTTTTAGATGGCGCGGGCAGCTTTTTCCCACCTAGAAGTTGCATGGTTGCCAACTCTCAAAAATGTATGTATCGTCGTAAGTTGTACACCTATACACGGTGGAACCTCGCAGCGGCTTGAAAACCATGCAAAAAAGGGAGGGGAAGAAACTGTTATTAAGAAGGGCAAAAAAGAATACGTAAAGCGGGTGTACACTTCTAGATGTCAGTTAAATGTGGCGCGAGGGATGTAAACGCATGGCTTTAAAGAGGCGAGAAATTAAGAAACTAAAAACAAACTGAAGGAGACCTGAAGATGGCGAACGAAAAAAAGAAAGTTTAAGTGCTACATTTGCGGAAAAATTGGACACAAACGGGCCGAGTGCCGGGATTCTGCGAAATGGAGCAGCTGTTTGCTGGATTATGCAAATAAAAGACGATACTTGTGCATTAACAACATTATATTTATTTCTAACATTCATATAATCAACAACATGGAAATATTTGCATCAACAATAGTTAAAGCTGTGTGCTGTATAGGCCACAAACTCTCATAAATTAAAAAGGTGAAACACCTAACAAGACTTAAAACATTTGCCTAGTTTAATATTTAGCTACACCTTTGTACCGTACAGACAAATAGCATTAAAAAAATATGTTTCCAACTGCAACATTTCTGCGCCTAGAAATACTGGAAAGGTGAGATTGGTGTTTAGAGAGTTAGCTTATTGCCGGTTAATCCTTTTTTTTAAGTGGAATCGGATCGCTAATACCCAGAACCGTTTGTACATTATCTTCGGTTAAACTAAAATAAATCAGCTGCACCGCCGAACACGACCGCCCCAATGGAAGTTCGGGGAACGTTAACGTGTACCTCAGTCCTTCGTGGTGCGTACCGCGATGGGGACTTTTACTTGCCGGTAACGGACTGGACGATTTATTCACGTACTCGTACACGACGTAGTCGTCCAAAGCGTTGAAGTTCTCCTGTAAGATGAAGCTCAAGTGATTTTTTACAGTGTACAGGGTGAGCTATGTTTCTATCAAACTGAAATGCTTCTACAATTTAATCCGGTACAAATGAGCTATCCCAAACGGTATTTCAAGCGGCAAGCGAAAAATCGTCTCCCTCCGGTTTGTCCAAATCAACAAGAGCCTCAAAATGTACTGGGTTCATAAACAAACGTTTACATGTTCTTCAAACCGCGCCGTTAAGAATGCTTTAAATAAGCTTGTCTTACCAGGTAAACAAAACTTAAAATTAAAGGCAAATCAGTTTGGCAGAAACATCAACTTGCATAAGAAAGCGCCTTTACCCTAAAGACGCCAATCCAATCATCTTTATTCTTAAGCGTATCCTTCGTGAATTTGTAAGTTGCGATGTTCTCTTCATCCAGATACCAAACGGGTATCTTTTCAAACTGCACAGACTCGTCCAGGTTTTCAGAGAATACCTGCGCATCCACACGTACATTTAAGTCGGGAATCTAACAATAAGCCCCTTTATCGATGGGGGCCCGGGAATCCTAGTAAACTTACCTTTATCACGAATTCAGCGGACACTGGTCGATGATCGCTGACCGTGTACTGTCCGTGACACACGTACGATTTCTGTTCAAGTTTTAAGGTGACGTTCTCATAATTGTTCGAGTTCACCTTGTACAGGATACGATCCGTCCAAGCCGGGCGTCTCCTTAAACCGTCAGTTTCAAAGCCGCCCCACTGCGACATGTCACTTACTTGTGATCGTAATCGTCGCTTCCTACGCCAAACTTGAAGGTAGGTGCGAATTTCGGGTCGGCCTCCGTCAGCTCACTAAAAGCCTTACCCGTGGACATCACGTGCCGCAACTGATCGTATGCGAAAAGCTTCTCCAACTCGCCCTTCTTAATGAGACGCTCGATCTCGTCCGGCGCCATTTCGTACTGCTCCATCAGACGAAAGTTTAAGTCGCCCATCCAAAATACGTAACTGCACAAAGTCACATTCATTACTCGTGAAGTAACACAGACTTTAATGCGGTTCAATAGCGCATTGGATCCCAAGCTCTAAACTTTTTAACAATCCTATCGTTTCGAGGAGAATCACATGCTGCCAGTTTGCGCATTAAGGGGGATTGACACTCCTCGAAAAAAATGGTGTACGGATCTGTACTGATGATCGCCCTGTTGGCCCAAAACCGAATTAATTCAAAACTTTCTCTCGAGCGATCCCTACCTATCCTTTTTAAATAATTAACGCCTGCAAAAAAGACGTGTTTCAGATGCGGAACCCCGGGGTCGTCTGACACTAATGTCCCAAATGTCGTGAAAACCCGAGTGCCAGCGATCACGCGCTGTTCAAATCCTCCGCGCCGCCGCGAATTTCACCTTTACACCAAGAACGCGAATCTCGTTTTGGCTGACGGAATAGCACGGCCAACCACCGTCGAAACCGTCGCGATGCCGGTGCACCTCCCAATTGTACCCTCCTGACAATCGATATCGTTACGGACGCACAGTGGCGTAACTAGGTATTTTTCGAAGCGGTGCCGGAGCAGGTTTTGGCGCCCTACCAGATTTTGGCGTCTAATCAGTTACCATTGCGCTCAAATTAATAAAACACGGTACATTTTTGAGAGAAACTTTACACGAAATTTTAACAGCACTGCACCCTTTCGAATTTACACACAAATTTTGCATACTTAAATTTTAGAAAGATGCTTTGAATAACGAAATCTTTCACTGAATGAAGAATAAAAGTACATTTATTTATAGTGTTTCCAATTATCGCGTCGAATTTAACTATGGCATGGGACACAGGTCGTAGAAATGATTGCGTGCAAATGCTGGTTACACTAATACAGACTATTGTATAGATCACAAATAAAGATTATTATTATTTTAAATCTGCAGCCTTTTCCTACCGCTGTAACTTTGTACTACAAGGGCCATCCAGAAACTAACAGACGTTTTGAAATAAAAAATTAAGAAAGTGTAATAAACAACTTTTATTATATACATTTGGAAGCTACACTCTTAGGCTATTTTTCAACACAGTCGCCATTCATATTGAGGCACTTAAGATAGCGTGGTACAAGTGTTTTGATTCAAACTGTGTATACATCTGCCTTCTGTGGGGGCGTCGGAAGCGGGTACCGACAATGGGAGTGTGGTAGCTCTCGACAAGATCTTACTAACGGTGGAGTCAAAACTTCAAACGCGAATTCCGGGCGAACGGGATGTCGGAGGTGGGTACCGACAAAGGGAATATGGGCCCCCCGACAAAATCTTATTGATTGTGGTTAATAAAAGTACTGATCTGCCACACAAAATGCGCTGAAATCCCTTACATCTCACACAAAGACTTTGATAATTTTTTTACTTTTTAACAATGTTCGGTTCATCCTAAAGGAGCGTAAATTTAGTTTTAATTACATTTCGGTGCACCCTGTAGTCGACTTTAGCAAAGTATTAGAATTTAACCGCCGTTCTTGTCTTTTATGACTGGCCTATACGGTACACCACGTACTGCCCATCATGACTTAGTGCCCTCGGTGCTTCAGCGCCTCCGGCGCGCCCCCCCCATTCAGAGTACCTTTGGCACCTACCTAGTTACGCCACTGCGGACGCAAACCTAACCCGATGAGTGCCACAACTTTGAGGACATACATTCGGAAAGTCCTTTTAAACGTTAAGAAGCAGTTGAGATTTCACATTCTTCAAACCTATGTCAGTTGGCGATAGACGTGACAATGTAACGTCAAGTGCTAATGTAATTTAGCGATTATTTCCATTGTACTTATGGTAAGAACATTTCACATTTTTTTTTTTTAATCTTTATTGCAAATTTACAATCTACTTCATTTAGAGTATTAAGTAAATGTGATATATGACTTTGACTTGGAAGAGGAAGTGTCCACTGACAATTCACCTTATAGTTCACTATCACTTAGTGTTACGGGGGTAGGTCAGCAGGCCAGGTTTTGTTTAATCTTCTGATGGGTGGTCCATCCCTGTATTTCACATTTACCGCTTTAGTTTGGTTGTATGTTTAATAGCGTTATCGATAGACCACGTTTTAGAATCGAATTACCTTTAAATACGTACTGCGCATACGCAAAACGCAACTTTCTTAGTTATAAAGCAATTCAATCCAAAGCGGAGCGGAGCACTGTAGGTAAGAATTCATTGGTGTCTTTGGAAAGCTCTCAACATAACCTAACCGATGGAAGGGTCGGAGTTCCGAATGGAGATTCAAACCCAGAGTGCCTAAACCTCTGAATACAAAATTGGGACGAGAGCGGACGCTAAACAACGAAGATATAGCGATTTGAAATTTGACACCTACCGCAAACACCCCAACCGCGATATCTCAAGAACGGAGCGTCGTAACTAGGGGTGTAGAGTGTCTTCGGAAAGGTCTCGGCCTAACCTAACCGCGCACTTAACATTGAAAAATCGTACTGCGTACTGAATGTGCCAAAAAACCGTACTACGCATGCTCAATAGTTAACTTTCTTGTTTGTGGAATAATTTGATTGCAATTTTGATGGTATGTTCCTCTAACAAACGTAAACAAAGTGAACGTTCAAATAATCGTGTTGCACCTTAAACCCACGCTAGCGAAGCCTAGAAATGGGAAGCACTTCTACCAACCTGTACCTTACGCTTAACTATAAAAGAGATTATCAATTAAGTAGTGCTTTTTTGAGCTTTTTTGGATTATTCCGACCCCACAACCCAACTACTAAAAAAATTGGCAAATAATAAAACAATAATAAACAGTGTTTGCTAACAAAACGTCGGTGTATTTATATAAGCGAATAAACGGGTCTGCTATGTTTTCGCTATAACGTTTGGGTAAATATTCAAAAGGGGGGAGGAGAGGTATAAAATACTACCTTTTGACATTTCGATGAATTTTAATGTTCTTAGCCTTCAATTATATATTATTATTCTTATTAAAATTGACCGTTACAACTTCCAAGGTGGCGATGGCGATTCTGCCATTTTGAATTTTTTTAATGGTATCATGTGATACTTTATTTTGAAGGGTTTTTATTGACAGTTCACGTCCCGAGTTTCAGCATCTGTAGTTAAAATTTCAAAATTTTTTTTTTGGTACCTTGGTACTATCCAACCCAACCCCGCGGATTTGACTGTCACTATATACGCTGAGTTTGTTAAAATTTCCAAAGAAATATCTCTAAGAAAATTGAATTTAAACAGTCTGCGCATGTGTAGATCTGACTTTTGCAATATGCTATGCAGTTAAGCAAGTAAATAGTAAGAGTGACATGGATTGTTATGAAAGTTTAAGACTTTGGTAAAATAAAGATTCATAATGAATAGTGATGACTGATGAGAGAGGCATATTAGACCATTCAAAACTCTTTAAAGTTTTAGTTGTTTACTGGTGATGATGACCTTGCTATAGAAACACATGATTTATTAAAGCGTTTTTGCTACTTCAAGAACCACACGAGTGGTTCTACTTACTGTGACTTATTGTTTGTGGAGATCAGCATATTACTTCAAGTATATATACAGGGTTGCCAGATTGCGTATGGCCGTCTGCCGGACATAAGCTGCATAAGAAACATAAATCTACATTGCGAACCAACCCCCCCCCCCCTCCAAATTTAAGAATTTTTTTATTTCAAATTGGTATAAGTAAACAAATAAAACAAACTATACATTCTTGCAATATAAGTAATATAAGGGTAAATACAGTGCACTTAACTTAATAAATGAAACATAAACATCAACATCGCTGTTTACACACAAATAGTCAAAACAAGAAAGTTAAACATATTTTTCTGATTTTCTTGCAAGTGTTTTTTGTTTTTTAATACAAAATCATAGAAATCCTATTTGTGATTTTGTCATATTTAAAAATTAAGGTGTTATTAGGTGGGTAAAAAGGAATCGTTTGACCTATTTGAAAAGTATTAAAATTTATTGTTCTACCGGAGTTATAGTCGCGTCTGCCCGGGGGCCGGAGAGCACGAGGTAAAACCGGAGACTCCGGCTGAATGCCTGACATCTGGCAACCCTGTATATATAATATTGTATTATAGTGTACACAACACATGTCATATGTGTATTGTGTGTTGCCTATTTCTAATTTCTATTTTCGATGTAACATTGCAACTGGGCTCCTATTGTCACCACTGTCTCTATAAGTCACAGTAGTTCTACTTACTCGTGAAAGAAAATTTCCGTGTGTTCGGGCACGTGAAACTCCTGATCCTTGATGATCGCGTTGTAATCCTCGACACGGTCGTCTAATCCCTCATCGTGCGCCGCGAGATGCGAGTTGACGAAGCACAGCGAGCAGCCGTACGCGCCCAATCGTACACTAACCGCACCCTTATTGCCCTAGAAACGAAAGCTTAAAGTCCATCGGACCGTTGGTAAACTCTTCCTACCCACATTCCAGACAGGCCAGTCCTCGTGTACTCGGATTCGATCTCTCGCACATTGAACAGGTGTTTTCGAAGGCTGTAAACGCTCAGAACCAATCCCTGCAGCCGGATCGTCTTTAACTTGACGTAGTCGCGTGCCGCGAGAATGTTGCAGGTCGAGTTGGTCCACGAGTCGTTAAAGAGGGAGTCCATCAGCATGTTGGCCGGTTTCGATTTGACCTCCTGCAACGACACAACGTAGAAGTCCGGTAGCGACTTCTCATTCTTTGCATTGGGATTTAGCGAAAGGAGATCGTGTAAGTCTTGGTCGGGGCTCGTTGTACCAACGTTGTACGTTACCATATACAATCTGCATTGAAAAATGATCAAACCTGCAGTCCAAGCTCAAGTGTTTACCTACTTTAAGTTGTCCATTTTGTCAATTTTGCGGAGATTATGTGAATGTTTGTCGAAGCTGAGAGCTGAGTAGACTTAATTGGTCGTTAACATTGAATTATTAAAATTAAGACAATGGGAGAGAGAGCAACATAATTTTGTAAATACGCAATTCGATCAGATGGTCGAGTGACAACCTTCAAATTTGGTAGTGACATGCGCAGTCAAACATAGTGCAGTTAACATACCGAAGGACCAAAGCACATACATTGCAAATTATATACTAACAGGAGTGTCAAAAGCTACTGGAAGCATGGTGCAGGGTTAGACCAAGGGCTTGCCTTCAAATCAGATCTGGAGAAAATAGCGAACAAAGCTAAAAAGTCCCTGTGGGTTTGTAGGCGAACATTCAAGAGGAAGTGGGGCTGGGGCTCATCTCCAAAGACGACTCGCTGGATGTAGGTACACCCAGAAGAACATACAGATGCTTAGCAATGTGCAACGCAGAGGTTGTCTTTGTGTGGTGTCACACTATGCGTTTTTACCGCTCCCGCTAAAACGGATGCGGTTTGACAGGATGAGATCTACTTGTCACACTATTCCGGTTTAACGAGATGCGTTTTTGCATTTTGGCAGTCTAAGTAGTGTCATGTCTCAATTATTGTTAAAGATGGTTTGTGCGCTTGAGGCGGAGGGGCTATTGCGAAAGCAGATATATCGTCAATATTGGACTGATCCTTTTAATTCAGGAAGAGAATCTAATAATAGGTTCGCGAAGTTTTATGAAAAAATTCGAATGAACAAGAAAAAATTTTTTGTATATTACCGAATGTCCAAAAATTCAATTTCTACCCATGATTTCTCCCTACAGTTTTTATCTACATACTCTTTAGATTGTTTTTCCCACAGTGCAGTTTTTGCATGCACGCACTCGATGAATACACCGACATCAAACATTGTAAACCTAACAAAACACCCGGTTGCAACGCTCAGTGTGACAACTGATGACAACCAACGTACAACAACACGTGGTTTCATGTCATTGTGGTTGTCATGTCAACCTGCGCAGCGGCAGCAGGATGCGGTTGCATCCGGTTGGTGCGGCGAAAACGCATATATGTGACTGGTACCATTTAATAACGTGTGATATTATCATCCCGTCAAACAGGAGCGTTTTAGCGGGAGCGGTAAAAACGCATAGTGTGACACCACACTTTGGAATTACGGGGGCAATGATAAGAACCCCCTACGGCAGCTATGGATACTCCCTTGAAAGGGAAAACTAAAAAAATTTTGGGCAGAATTGCGCATGCGCAGGTGTGCGGGGGGGGGGGATCTGTGCTAGCCACAGCAAATTTTTTAATCTAATGAAGTTTAGAGCCAAGTCTATAGTCTTTGCTATATTTTCTAATAGTGTCTACTGAATCTTTTAATATAATCAAAGTAGGATGAATTTTTCTCATTTCTGGTCGCTCTACTACAGTCTTCGCTATATTTTTTTAAATTTTAGTCACAGTGTTTAATTAAAGTAGCGTAATCTTTCTCGTTTTTGCTGGTTCTTCAGGCTGGTGTGTCGCAGGGCTCAGTTTTTGGTCCGCTATTATGTTTTAGTTTATATCAATGATGGTGTTAACTGTTAAGTAATACTTTCAGACAAGTATTTTTGAAAAACTTTTTAGAAACTGATTGTTACAAGGCCCAACTTCTGAAAACTGATGCTCTTCATATAGGTAACCAAAGTAGCGATATTTTTCTCACTTCTAAGGAAAACGAAAGAATACGAAGAATGTATCAGGAAAATAAAAACAGAGAAGGACTTATGGAAGATGCTAACTGAGGAAAAGAGACCAATAGAACGAGTGGGAGAGAAATACACTAGAGGACTGGAATCTACATTTTATTAAGGCAAGGAGAGAAGAGGGCGAAGGAGACGAGGTATCAAAGAAAAGAAATTGCGAGACTGACTGAAGAAGGAAGGGAAAAACTGCTGGGATGGATGAAATAGGAAATGAGGCTTGGATTTCCGCCACAGATAGTATCAAAGAAAAGATAAGGAATCTATTAAACAAGATAAGGAAGGAAGGGGTAATCGTGCCGATTTACAAAGGACGTGATAAAAAATTGCATTGAAAATTAAGAAGAAACACAATAAGACGCAATGAATCAAAGATTAGAAAGCGATATGGAAAAGAGTATTGGAAGAAACAGATGGGCTTCAGAAAAGGGAGGGGACGGTGTATATGTATTACACAGATTGGTGGAAAGGAATTGGAAAAATGTGCTTTCATGGACTTAAAAGTAACGTTCGAGAGAGTTGAGTAATTTTTGAGGCACTTTAAAAGTTCACCTTTTTGTGCTTTACAGGTGAGGTTTTTTTGAGTTCTAAGTTAGGCCGAAGGTACTTTTTTGTTAAATATTGTGATAATTAGCGACTTATTTTAATGCAGAAGTTAACCGCACAGAATAGCTTAGTTGCCAATCCCGCAAATACCGGGATCCCGCGGGATTAACATCTAGCAATCCCGCAAGTACCGGGATTGAGATTTTGCTGCGGGATTGCATTCCCTAGATGGGAAAATAGACAGGGACAGAATCAAGGACCTATATCAAAAAACAGGGTTGAAGGTAAGAAGAGAAGGGAAGGAGGTGGAAGTGTTTTGGACATATAAAAAAGAAGTAAGACGGGGATGCTCGATTAGCCCAACCTTATTTAATCTCTACAAAATGACATGAAAAGCGTATTAGTGAGGCAGGGTCAATGTAGAGGAATCGTAGAAGAAAGATATGGTCCCTGGCATAGGCGGACGACGCAGTAATAATGGCAACAGAGGTAGAATACTTTTAAAAAATTCTGGGAAGAATGGAGAGGCATTGGAAGGTATGGGAAGAGAGGTGGGAGAAAAAGGGAATGAAAATGGAGACAGGAAAAAATAAAAGAGGTTGGAGAAATTAAATATTTAGAGTACCATATACAAAGAAATAAAATAATAATAAATAATATAATAATAAAATAATATAATTGCGCAAATAAAAAAACTACGGAAAAAGGGGCGGGGACGATAAGACAGGTGTGCGAATTAGAAGAGAGGGGTTTCAAGAACAATTCCAGAACAAGAAAATACCTGTTTGATGCAATGGTGAGAGGGCTGCTCATTTAGGAAATGGAGATATGAGGGTGGAAAGAATGGAATGAACTATATGGAATACAAAGAATGTCTTATAAATAGGTATTAGGGATAAACGGAAAGACGCCAAATTGTATATTTGAGGAAGAAACAATAATGGAGAAAATAAGGGTAGCATCGGGATGCAGTGCAGTGAGTTTTCGAGGGAAGAAGTGAAAAAGAGCGAATTTGTAACAGAATGCTTGATAACGAGGATGAACGCAAATAGAGTAGACAGAAATAGAGAGTAGAAAATGAAAAAAATTTAGAAAGTGTGAAGAGGAAGAAGAGAACATTCTTCCTCTGGGGTGAAAAAGTGAAGAGGAAGAATGTTCTCTTCTTCCTCTTCACATTTTTTTCATGTTATGTAATTGCAAAGAGGTGCAAAGGACAGAGAAAATCAGGAGTGAGATGCTGAAAAAGGGGTGAAAAAGTGAGAGTGATTGATGAACACAAAAGAAATGTGGAAAGAACACAGAAAAAAAAACACGATGGAAATGGATACGGACGGATTGAGGTCGAAAGCAGGAAAGGATGGAAGATGAGCTAAAAGGAACATTGATACACAAGTTGAGTAACAGAGGGCGAAGAAGAGAGCTCACGAAGACAAAACGGACAAGGAAAGTAAGGGCAGTTGTTGCCGAAGTACTTATGGCAGAGAAGAAACAATAGTAAGATAATTGGCGAGGCTCAGATGCGGAGATGAGGAGAAAGAGAAGGATAAGTGGAGAAAGAAAGAAGAAAGGAAATGTAGAGTCTGTTCAGAGTAAGAGGAGGATATAGAGCACATGCTATATGAGTGCAAAGAAGTGGTAAGGGCAAAGGGATGCAGTATTGAAGTGCCGGAGGAGGGGGACGGTTAAAAAACAGACCAGGCTTTTGGAGAATCTTTTTAGGAACTGACTGTTATAATCCCTTAAAGGCACAGCTTCTGAAGACTTATAGTTTGTTATGTTAAACACTGAAAACTCTAAATATTGTAGAACTCGTGAGCTCTTTAAAGATCTTGAAGGCTTTTCAAGAGTCTGCCACTTAATACTCTAAGACTGAGAGTTTTAAAGGTCATGAAAACCTAAATACATCTTAAATGTTCTAAACACCTTGTATGAAGAATGTTTAAAAGGCTTTAAACGAATTTAAAAGCTCTTGGAAACTGCTCGAGACCCTTAAGGCTCTAATAGACTGTTAAAGACTCTAAAATGTACCTACTCTTAAAAATTAAATTCTTAAGGCCTCTCAAAAGCTCTTAGAGCCTTATTAGAGTATCTAAAAGTCACTTAGCTTTGGAAAACATCGTAACCACTGGTTACAGGTCAATGTTAAAAGCAACCAAATTTTAAAATTAATTGAATTTTATTAAATAACAATATACAAAATAAATAAATAAAAACAAGCCACAGACACAAAAGCTACACTAAAAAGTACCCGTGTCACTCCAACTCAGTGCTATCAACTCTATGTAACGTCGTTAAAAAGTCTTGGTTAGTCTCTCTATGACCGTTAGCTAATAAAGACTCTTGTCTGCCTTGAAGCGGAAATTGAGTCTCCTCCGCGTCCTCCCTTTTCCTTCGTTTCTTGCACAGCTTGTTACTGACAGGTCTGTGCGCTACGAATATTATGAAAACTATCACTCCCTGGAGCGAGTTGATAATATCAATGGCCGTCCAGAAACCTTCGGTACTTTGTAGCACCGAGGATATTATCTCCGTTACCCAACACAGCGTCATTAATATCAGGAGGAAGACGCACGATCGATACCTGTAAAACTGACAGTTGTATTTCGACGCGTTGCATTTGGAGCCTACATCGGCTTGAGTTCACCCTCTAATGTCTTCCAGTTGACATCAGCACGCAACGTCTTCTGGAAGTGGAGTAGTGTTATTTTCGAGAGTATCGCTACCATTAGATTGACCAGAATCGCAATTCCAACTGGCGCGTAGAAGTACGGCAAAGACTCCTTGCTATCTGAAAAGTGTCCAACGTTCAAATTTGCATTGTATTGCGGCACCGAGTACCATCAAACCAGCAACTGTTTCGTCCAAAGTGAGGCTTTAAAACTGTAGTTGGTATATCGGGTATTAAGTCGATCAATAGCGAAATGATCAACGTGAGTAGCGGCACCAAAAGGCCGACTCCCAAGTAAATTCGCAATCGTTTCCCATCCTGAGTGTACGCCTCTTTGTTGTGGAGTACGATTTTGCAGTAAGTTTCAATACTGACCATCGTCAACCAGGTAAACGACGACACCAAGAAGAATTGGACGATGAATGCTGAAACATGAGCAATAGCAAATCTTCAGTTGGAGCAAAGTAAACGTACCAATCACTCTGCATCTTGTCTTGTCGATCCCGGAGAATTGTGCGGATACAAGGCAGATAAAGGCGACGGCCATCGAGCTGGAATAAAACACGATGCATTTGCCTCTGGCGTCCCTAACTTCTTTTACCACTAAGAATACTAGCGCTGTTAGTATTAGTGCAGCTGCCGAAAGGATGATACCTAAAATTACGACGGTCATCCCAAATCTTATGCTATTCGTCTACGAAAGCAGTAAAACAAAGAACCAAACCTTTTGCCATGCCCCACAGCTACGTCGCGACAACTCGTCAAAAATCAAACCACGAATCTACCAAGAACGTTTATTTAAATAAAGCGGATTACAAGCAAGCGGAAAATAATTTAAGCATACCCATCAACCGTGTAAAAAACTCATGCTGCAAGACCACCACCTATACGATGTCTAAGGCACATACCTACTGCGTAAATTACAAAAAATGTGCTAGAAAGTGGCACGTTACCGCTACTGAAGCACAGTATGGCGGTAGTTACCCATCTGCTCCCAGCTTCGTCGCCCAAATTCACAGTTTCAATGCAGTAGTTGTCCATCGATAGTATATTCTGCGTGTTGAGTACCATTAGAGAACCGTTCTTCATAAGCGGAAAAGACTCCTCTTCGGGATCTAGGGGATACCTACACGCTTGTTAGTATCAGATCTCAGGCTTTGTACTCACTTTTGATGGCTGCAGGTGATCGCCTGCACGAACGGCACAAACTCAATCGATTCGGCTGCGATCGGCTCGTCGTCAATATGGCTCGAATTGTGCTCGTGCACGTTCATCGGCGGATTAAAGCGCTCTTCGCTCGACCCGCAACCGCCCTCCAATAAGACCTGGTTCAGCGCGCAGCACTTTTGGACGCGAATTATTCGGCGATTGTCGTGCTGAAAGGGCAGCGTGAGTTGGTGACGGGTTGAAGGTGTCTTACCGTATACAAGGGATTTCCGTTCGGTTCCGGTATCGTGACGTTCTTCGGGATAGTGGTGTGGCCAAAGTTTTGCTTGAACTGTATGCACCACAGTCCAAAGTAGTCGATCGAGTCGGTCGTTAGTTCGCCGGGGAGAGTGACGTAGACGTTCTGGCCGGTGTACTCAGAGAGCGATTTGCTCGAGCCGTTCTCGTCGGGCACCAAGACGCCATCGGTCGACGGTTCCGGCCCCTTTCCCGCCCAAAAGTGCGCGTCGGGACCTTTACCGTCGTAGTGCAGGTTGGACACGAAGAAGGTCTTTTTGTCGACGGCCACGATGGGACCCGATCGTAAACCGTGCGCCAGTCTCGTGAAGGGGGCAAGTTGCACCCCGTATTCTGTCGATGGTCTCTGAAAGTGCACTATTGGATTTTGCCAAAGTACGAGCGCAGACGTACCCTTCTAATAAAGGTGTGTCCGAAGTTGTGCTTGAAAGTTATACACCACATCGCCAGGTAATCGATTTTGTTGTAGGTAAGGGAGCCGGGAAGCGTTATTGTCACGTTCTGCCCTGTATACGCCGGCAAGGGCAAGGAGGACTGGTTCTCGTTTCGTACCAAAATACCATCGCCGGAGGGCCACGTTCCCTTTCCCACCCAAAAATGCGCGTCGGGACCTTTACCATCGTAGTGCAAGTCTTGAATGAAAAACGTCCGTGGGTCGATTATTGTTATCGGGCCGGAACGTAAGCCGTGGGCCAGTTGAGTGAACGGAAGGAGCGTGATTGGAAGAAAGGGGGCCTAAAACAAAAGATTTTGATCACAAATTTTTCGGCTTTTTGGCATACACCCAGTGTATTGACCTGTGTCATTCGATTAACCGTTTATATCGTGGAGGAGCCACCTAATTCTTCGTCTGTATATGTTGCTTTTTCATCTCGTGCCGGCTGCAGATCTTATTCTTAAGCAATGCGAGAAGGAGAAGAGAGGTGCTCTAACTTTTCTTCTGCTTAGAATGTGAGTCTGTTTGTGTGATAGTACTTTAACTTAGATACTGCTTGCGTTACCACCTGTACTCTTTTCATGTTAAATTAATTGGTAGAATCCAACTACAATGTAAGAGTCTACTAGGTCTGTTTTGTCAGGCATATAAACAAACAGGCCTTCCTGAAGAACTTGGGGGAAGAAGCCGAAGTTTGTCGTTAATCCCATTAGAACAACAGAGACTAGACCCAGGTAAACCACGATAGTGGCTGATGAGAGTCTGAACTAGAAAAATGCCAGCATCTTTGGAGTGGAATATCACTGTCGCGTCCAAAAGCAGGTGGAAGTAAATGGACGTCCGAAATGCTAGAACATTCACGATAGGGGTGAAAGGTGGCGAAATAAAATAAATGCTTGAACTGTGATCAAGAGGGGTATTAAAAAAATAAGTGCACTAACCACACCAAGAACGCCACACTCCGCATAGTATTGCAAAACTCACAGACGATTCTAAAAAGCAACATGTAAATTAGGCGATTTGGGGATGATTTACCGCAGCAGAATCCACAACGATTCAAGTACGATTCACAGATTATTTCAAGAATCCACAGTGAAGATTCCAGAGCATTTTGGATTGGGACTCTGACGATCTGATGATGCAAGGAGTACTACAAGAAAATTCACAGTAAATTTCAAGTGAATTCGAAGAAGGTTCAAGGCAGATTCACAGCTTATTCTAGACAGATATTGGAAAGGGTCGAGAAAAGTCCAGGAGTAGGGGATCGTTCGAAGAAATGCATGATGAATTCGTAAGTGCGTGGAAGAAGGTTCACACTCGATTCCAGGAAGCTACAAGAAAATTTTAAAATTTTGATGATTTGAAATTAGCACAAGAATCCGTGAAGATTCTAGAAACTATTGCAGTTGATTTCAGAAAGCTACGGGAAAGAAAACTTTGCGACGTTTACAAGCGGGTATTCCGGGAAGAACAATTGCCAGGTGGATGGCGGACAAGAAGAAGAAAACAAAGACCAGAAGAAAAACGGTACAACAAGTAACATTAAGAGTGAGCCACGGGAAGGGACAAGTGGGGAAGGAAATTGGGATGTTGGGTGGCGCCATTGATGCAAGCCTAAGAACACGCCTTCATAGGTGAAATGAAACTGGAACCGGAACCGAAAATTACTGAAGTCACAAAACCGGAACCGATACCGAAGCCCTTGAAAAATAATTCTACCTAAGTAGTGCGAAACCGGAACCTATTATGGTCACCAGGAGAGAATGCCGGTCACAGAACACCTGATACCGCGGCCTACAATCGTATGGTTATGACAGAGACAGAGCAGACTACGTTTCCTGCCGCTTGTCACTTTACTGGCGGCATTTGTGAAATTTCTAATGTCTATAATGACACCTGTCATCACTGACCAATTGATATCAAAAGATTTATATAAAAATTGAAAGGTTATATTAAAATACGATTTCGAGTAAAATTTAATACAAAACACGTCAATAATATGACATTACTTGACTCGACCCCTTTCCTCCCCGGTAATCTGTCATTTTCCTGACTTTTATGTAAATAACAGTATGATGGTTTACGTCCCATTAATATTATATTAAATGAGAAAAATTATATCTCGGCAACGAAGCATTTGAGGACTCATATTCATAGGACATTTTCGACTGGAATTCACCGAAGGAACATGTACTCAAATTATCCCCTTTCTTCGTGGGACACCCTGTATAGCAAACGAAAAGTTTCTAGAAAAATCACGAATTTAAACAGTACATAATTTTTTGAAAGAATGCGTCACATCCGCTTTCGTTCTTTATCGCCGGTGACCAGAGCTGGGCAGTATTCGATTTTGTAAATACTTTTTAGTATTCAAGTCCTTTAAAGTATTCAAATACTTTGTAATTAAATACTTTTATTTTTCATTTGCCTATTATATGTCAATTATATCTGTCATATGTGATATATGAAGCAGTCTATTACGCCCAAGGGCATAATGCGAGGGCATAATGGATTGTCATCTCATTATGCCCTCAAACGGCCTGTCAAATTGATTGACGGAGTCATATTATGTAATAAAAAAGATGCTACTTGATTCGTATGAAGCACTTTAATGTTGGCAAACAATAATTTGTATATTGGAAATGCATTCTTTGGAACGATGAAAAATAAAATGTTGTATGCACCTCAGGCATTACTCAATATTTAACCCTCGGGCGACTTACAATCCCTCGGGCCGGAGGCCCTCGGGCTCTGTCGCCCTCGGCATAAATATCGCCTTAAGGCCCTTGATGCATAAATAACTATTAAGGAAGCAGTATTTGTATTTGTAACTCAAATACTTTCACAAATATTTAGTATTCGAATACTTCGCATAGTATTTGAATACTTAACCTTCCTTTTTTTTTACCAAAAATCGACTCCACCAAAATTTCTCGGGAAAACACTTTTTCTTATTAATTTTGGTGCGTAGAATCCAAAACAATTCGTACTTTTTCGATCAGACTTCTCAATCAAAAGTTATAGACTAGAAACCAATTTCGAAAGAAAATTCAAAGGGCTGTAACTTTTGAACTAGTAGCCCAATCTTGGAACTGTTTGAAATTATGGATTCTACAGGCCACATTCTATAAGAAAATTTTTTTCCGTGTCGATCTGAGACAATTTTTTTTTTCGTGCCTCAAAAAAAGGCAGTAGTAAGTAGTATTAAGACGCCTGATGATGGACGAGAGAAAGTCCGAAATCGATAGCGACTAACATTTTTCAATAAACAAAAATTAGTGTAATACTTTCGACAGCCATTAGACCACACACTAATTAATATGGATTTTTAAAGTATTTGAGTGACTATTCAATTCATCTAACATTTGTCAGATTTCAACCAGTGAAATGTCTCGATTTCAAATTGCTGCGCCAATGGGAACGAATTATAGTGATAATTGCACGTGTGGTATTTCAGCGACAATTCAACTCATGTATAAAAAATCGCATAAGCCGCAGTGCAATTGTCACTTTGACAGCGGCAAAAGTTACCTGCATCTTTTCCAGCGACAAATGCACTAGTGGTTTTTTCACTATTCATTTTCGAACCAATTATCGCATTATCCTTTCCCATATGACTAGCTTGACGTCTGTCAATAATTGATTAGCTTGGTGAATTTCTTGTTCGTTAAATTGTCCTGCCGAATTACACTCGAGGTTTGTATTTAAACCGAGTAAATTTGGGTTGTTGCAACTCAAATCTGTTTCCTTTTAGCAATTGAACTCGAAAAACTGTCAACCTAAAAATGCTCCACCTGCGGTGTCGCATTTTTATTAGTTGACAGTTTTTCTCGTCTAATTGCTAGGCAACAGATTTTCATTACCTAAACAACCCAAATTTACTCGGTAAAATACAAACCTCTTGTGCAATTATAAGTGATAATTTCACGTGTGGTATTTCAGCGACAATTCAATGCGATTATTCAATGACATTTGTCAAACTTCCACCAGTGAAATGACGCGAAATTTTGTCGTATTAACCGGAACATTCTTCTTAGTTTGTTAATCAATTTCGACAACCGACTAATCACCACATCTTTTAATTTAATCACTCATAACGAATTAGCTTGGAGCACAAAAGTTCGAATAGAATCAATAGCAAAATGAAAAGCAACTTCCATAATTTATTTTGACGTTTGTTGTTGTCATGGAAATACATTCGCGTAGGTAATTATGCTTAATTTTTCTTTTGATTCGTTGAATAGTCCTCCGAATACCATTCGTAGTCGAAGTATTTGTAGATTATTTTTGAGCTGCTGCTCCACTCATGCTAGTTACGCTTTTTAATACCACTCGCGCAAGCGCTCGTGGTATTAATCAGCGTAACTAGCATTCGTGACAGCACCTCAAAAATATTCGACAATACTTCGACTACTTATGGTATTATATATGACAATACTATAAAAAGTATTCGAAAACCTTTGTCAGTATTAGAATGCCTTTGAAAGTATTCTAATACATTCTAAAAGATTTGAATACTTATTTTTTAAAGTATTTGAATACTTTTCAATGTATCTGTATCTAGTATTCGCTTGTGCTGGACGTAAAAGTATTTAGTATTCAAATACCTTTGATTTGTGTAAAGTATTTACTATTTAGTATTCAAATACTTTTTGAAAGTATTCTGCCCAGCTCTGCCGGTGACTAATCTGTTATGGACTTGATGGCGTCTCGATGCTGGCCCAGTATCTTTGGGATATTCACCACACACTATATTATCGGTATCTCGATCGTTGCGAAAGAGCGGAATGACTAGGAGCAGGAAGAATACGTTGGTGACACCACAGAGTCCACCCTCGGCGGGGGCAGTAGGGAAAGAGGATTTACTGAGTGCAAGCTCCACACTACCCCCACAGTAGGTACATAATGCGCCAGGCATTCCCTAATTCCTAAGATAGGAAAAGAAAGGTGTCCAATTTGAATGAAAAAACAACTTCTTTACCCTTGAAAGCGATTAAATTGGCCATTAAATTTAGAACACCCATCTGAATTTTTTCTTCTGCTAGGGACGTTTAGCGAAAAAGGCGCAATGTGAGAAATAATACGAATATAATAAAAACAGTTGACAATAATGACAATAGGCAGAGGAAAACCTGACCTGAATTTTTCCGAAAGATCCAATAAATTGAAGTATATATAGGGTGGTCCATTTAAAATAAGCAAGTTAATGGTATCAACTTGAAAGATACGTTTAGACGCTTTGTCACCAGCCTATGATTCCATACCTGATTGCTGATTCAAAGCAGGCATAGTAATCGCCTTTGACGACAAGTAACGTCGTTTAATTTTCCGAATGACACAAAGATCCTGACGTACGTAGTAACTTAAAATCGGCCACTTGTCTCATTGATTGGTGAACAATACGAATCTGTTTATGATCTAATAGCTTTCGGTTAATTTTAATCTAACGGAACAACTCATTTTCAGGTAATGATTTGCAGTTTAAAGTGATAGGCCATAAACATATAACAAAAAGAGTAAAGGACCCACTACACTATCCTGAGGAACTCCCATAACTGCTTCCTATAGCTTGTACGATCTGAAGAGATCCTTATTCACCTTCCACTTAGTCCATCGCACATTGTTTTTGACCCACTTCTTGCATCTATCTTATCAGACTTTGTTAACGTAGAGGGCGCCCTTCTTAGAACCGGAGCTAGCAAAATTAAGATAAATACGATACAACTAGGGTAAATGAACTACCAGTACCGGATTTGAGACAACAAATAAAGGATCCATCGGGGTTGGAACTTGAGTAATGTGGAAACTGTCCCCAACATCATCTAGTCTAAAAAACGAAGGAGAGCCAAATTACGTTTTATGTGAAAGATGATTTGGTTGGCATTGTCACGCTACCGGAAACCGTACAATGTAATACTTACGTGCGATATCTACAAGGATAAACTAATTATCTAACAACATTTGCATGTTCCACATGTGCCTGCTTTAACTCGCAACATCACTTAGCGGACTAATTTGGGAGTTGTCTGTTTAATCTCAGCAGAGAGTACACAAAACGGATAACTTACAGTGGACGATGTTTCAATGTCGGCGCTATTCTCATCGGTCTGCAGCGGAACGACGGCGAGCGGCGGCGACGACGACGCTTTTTGCGTGGACGAGTGCGAAATTAACGCACACGCGAACAGAAAAAGAGCGCGAAACGCGTTCATCTTCAGCACTCACTGATTGGGAAACAAATTCGCGTTCTTCGCCGGGTCTCGCAGTGTACGTGAGCAACGAGCCCGAGCCGAGGTTCAATCACCACACAAACTTGTTTTAAAATTATTTGACACACATTCACAAATAATCGCTAATGCACCACTCGAAGCCACTTCTGAAATGATAAGAGCGGAATGGAGGAGGAGAACGGTTTGACTCAGACGCATACCGGGGAATGCCCCACCTTTCACGAGGAACTGATATGACTATTTAAAAATTTACAGGGAATTTCACACATTCATCAATCCCGCAAAAAAACGTTCGCTTCGTGCTACGTCAGAGTGGTATTACGCGTCTCGCTCAAGAGTGAAAGTGAATAGTTCTACACGAGACGTAAACGAGTCTTCGTTACCGAATATTTAATTGATTTTTGGAGGACGACGTTGCCGTTTATACTTGGCCAGGTGTGTTTGCGTTTATTTTTGCTCCCATACAGAAAAATTGAACCGGTTGTAGGTTTCTCTGCAGTAGAGGCCTGTGGCGAGCCCCACGAATTGGGTAACATAGTAATGAAGGCATTAGGTTGCCTGGTTTCTCGTTATCCAAGTCTTTAGAATGCTTTGAAAATCTTCGAATCTTCAAGTCGTCCGAATTTTAGAATCTTCTTACACATTTTTCCATCATTTTAGAACCCCATCTTAGAGTACTTTTACAATCTTTAGAACTAATAAAATCCTTTAAAGGCTTTTAGTATCTTTTTCTCCGCCTTTGTACTACTACCTCTGGTCCTGCACATGGAGATCAAGTGCAAGCAAACTGAGGACTTCCATAACGGTTTTACTGATGATCCGCAAGGCACGCTAGGTTCTCCACATGGTACAAAAGGTCTAATCACGGCGACGTGCTGCCACAGAACAGACTCTACGGGCCCTGGTGGGCTTCTATCGCTGACACACCCTGAACTATGGAGTTCAAAGTGATATAGGCAGTTGTCTTGTCACGGTCTTGGAGGGTATAGGTAGCAGATTTTCCTGGACCACCGACAAGCCCACTACAAGTGTTCGATGTAAAGTACTGTGAAAATGGGTAAATTTGACCACATTTCTGTGCGTGTATTTTCTGTAGTGTGTGTACGTTGGTTCTGCGTTCTTGTATTTCTGTTATATTATAATTATATCTGATATTTAGCGATCGGTTAAGAACATTTTAACACACGATTCTGCTTTGATCACCAGGTATTCAAAATGCGGATGCCATAGCATGTGGAATGAAGAGGATGATATACGTTCTCCTCTCTAAAAGGGACGAAGAAGCAACAAAAATAGCCAATGGAAATTGTTTAAAGCCTGGACAAACAAAATAAGAAACAAGGATTATTATGTGAAAGCATTATAGTGTAAACACGGCTTTGGAGCAAAAAGGTGACGCTGATGCTATAGATCAAAATTGTTTTTATTCTTCAAGTTCAAAGGGCTGTAACTTTTGATCTAGTAGTCCAATCTTGGAACTGTTTAAAATTATGGACTCTACGGACCAAACTCTATAAGAAAATGTTTTTCCCGGTCGATCTCAGACAATTGTTTTTTTCCGGCCTCAAAAAAAGGCAGTGTATTACCTTCCTTCTTTACCAAAAATCGACTGCTCTGAAATTTCTCGGGAAAACACTTTTTCTCACTAATTTTGGTGCGCAGAATCCAAAACGATTCGTACTTTTTTTACCAGACCCAAATTTCGAGAAGAAAATATGTACAGGGTGACAATTTGAAAACTTACCACCCCCCCATATCTTAGTAAATATACGAGATATTTAAAAAAATCAAAATCCGTTTCGGTAATTCGGAGGGGGAATCACAATGACATAGTTGGCGACGCACCCCCTCCAACCATCTGTACCTAAGATTTTCCATGTAAACAAAAATTTCAAAGTGGCGACTCGACAGCAACTCATTTTTGATCGCATAGTAATACTGTCTTACCAATAACGGAAACCATTTTGAACATTTATTGAAATAAAAGCCAACTTTAGAAAATGTATCATATTAGTTTATTTTTTGATTTGCACGATAATTACTAACCTAAATGTAATGCTATTTAGTATGGTTGGAAAGCATTTTTTGAGAGCTTTCCAACGACGTATCACATATGGAGAGTCACTATTTAAGATTTAAAAGTTGGGGTGGCTAGGGCGCAGGGGGCATGAGGGGGTGCGTCACCAACTATGTCATTGTGATTCCCCCTCCGAATTACCGAAACGGATTTTGATTTTTTTAAATATCTTGTTTATTTACTAAGATATGGGGGGTGGTAAGTTTTCAAATTGTCACCCTGTATATATTTGGGTCTGATCGAAAAAGTACGAATCGTTTTGGATTCTACGCACCAAAATTAGTGAGAAAAAGTGTTTTCCCGAGAAATTTTGGAGCAGTCGATTTTTGGTAAAAAGGAAGGTAATACACTGCCTTTTTTGAGGCCGTAGAAAAAAATTGTCTGAGATCGACCGGGAAAAAACATTTTCTTATAGAGTTTGGCACGTAGAATCCATAATTTCAAGCAGTTCAAATTGGCTCATAGATCAAAAGTTACAGCCCTTTTGAACTTATATTATATATATATATATATATATATATATATATATATATATATATATCCATTGGTGATGTCAATTTAAGAAGAAAAATGCATCGTTTGGTCAAAACATTAGTATTGCTGGGGGCAATATTTCGAAAGTATCGAAAGAGGGTACTCATAAAGCGTAAGTGGAAGGTCTGGACGAGACATATCTAGCGGAGATGTTAAAATTTAAATGTGAATATCTCAAAAATGTGAGTGTCGGAGGAAGGGCAAGTGGAATAGTGTGGAAAATTTCTCTTAAGGCTAGATTCTTCTTGCATTATATAGCGTAAATTTTGAATACATGCCAGGCGGCCTTTAAATGTTTACACGTAAAGACCGCCCTTTCGCATTAATCATCTTCCGTGAAGCTAAACATCGCTCCCCGGTCCTATGTCCTATTGAAAACTATTTTGTAGGGGAATCTGATCATTTTCTCGAGAACGATTACGAGAGTAAAGCTAGGTAAGGCGAGGGAAAGTGTTACCGGAGAATCTGCCCCCCCCCCCCAATATTAGTGTGCTTGCATTTCCATTTCCGCAAAACCCCCATGACAATACCGGGTATGGAGGGAAAGGGTCGTCGAGCCCTTCTTTATTGAATGATTTAAAATCCTTGCAATGTCTTTAAGGCTCTGTTGGGGGGGGGGGAGTATTCGATACTCCCCAGCCAGACCTCGCCTAGTCTTTTTTTGTTGAGTGGTTTGAAATTGCTGGGGGGTTATTCCATAACTATTTTGCAGTGGAGTCAGATCACTTTTAGAAAAAAAATATTACGAGAGTCCCGAGAGGTAAACGTTTTGCGGTGGAAGGCCTTACCGGTTGGTCCGGGGGGTTTGTAATACAGTGGTTCGATTGTCAATTCCAGAAAATTCGTGTAAAAGTATTGAGGCTTAGAGAGAAGGGGTTATCGAGTCTTTGTTTGTTGGGTGGTTTTGAGCCTCGCCACGATTTTAAGTTTTTTCGAGTGGGGGAGGCAGCATTCCTCCCAGACTCCTCGGTGCTATGTCCTATAGAATATTATTGTTCCGAAGAGGAGCACTTCAATGAACCCAACCATTTGTTGAGGGTGGGTGAATTCCAACGCTTTTCTGCTGATAATATAATGTTATGAAGACAAACACGCCCAGTATTTAATTGCACAGGGTGGCCAATTTTGGTTGTTGATAGAGAAAAATTAACCTCGCAGTCTCGATGTATTTTTTTGACATAAACAATTCTATCAATTAATTATGTAGCCTTAAGGAGTATGGATTTGACATGAATATGTTGAAAAAATACAAATTCAGGTTTTAGTGTGTAGTGTGAAACTCTTAAAATCGTGTATTTGTTTACGAGATCTTCCAAGGGCAATTGAACTCGCAAAAATAAAAACCGGCTCGTCGTTGAGGACTTTCTGGGCGATCTTCGGAACTTCCCTGAGTAGAGAAATAATGTAATGTTTCAACAAGTGTTCTGTTTCTACGTTGAATGTACCCATAGCTTGAGTATTTTACTGAATGCGCCTTCAGTGTGTTAACAGAAAGTGTACTGAGGGAACATCATTTTTGCTTTTGTCGTTGAAATGACAAGTACAAATCCCCAGCCATTAAGTTAAAATTCTTTAAATTATTTAACTAAATCTAAATGGTTGATATCTTTCCGAGGTTTTTATCGGATTACTTATTTAGTACGTTTCGTTTTAGGTTATCTGTTTTAATTTAATTAACCTCCCTTTTACCTACATCGCAATCCGAAACCCATTCATTAATGGGGTATGTAAGTTGGAATTAATTTGATTGTAGTCTGGAAAGACCCGCTCCCCTTGGGTAGCCGTGTGCAATTCCTTTTTCCTTGTCGAGGTTCGTTGCACAAGATGGTGCACTCGAGAATCCTAACTTGTTTCGAGAAGGTCCCACTCAGTTTTCCTAGAAAATCAATGTTTGAACAGGTATTATTATGGGGATTAAATTATTGGGCCCATGTTCGTGGACGGAAATTAAACAGGTGAATTATATCGGAATCTTTTGGAGGACACACAATGTTTGGAGAGTCAAGTAGACTTCAGCAAGATGGAGCTCCGCCACATTGTGCTCTAGCTGTTAGACAGTAGCTCAATCGACCCCTATTTGGTTCTTAATTAATCGTGTAATTAATTTTCTGTGCAAGAAATATTGGTGTTAGCTTTCATTGCGTGTTAAGGGTAGTTTTTGCTTCGGCCATTTGAGAAGTGCAACCTAAAATGAAATGTAAATTTTAAAAATCTTGTAAACATTTTGGAAGCTTCAAATGCACTAACAACCCTAAGATTATATCCCACTTAAACAGAAACAAGGGGGAGCTTTAGCATTAATTTCCCAGCGTGTGAAGCCCGTAGAGTTCGAAAACAGGTTCGCATTTATTATAAAAACGAGCTAAATTTCGAAACGAGGGTCTCAACCCCACGAGAAAGTGTAATTTAAATGTTACGTTAACCCTAACATCAAATTAAGTATAGTAAAAACTAACTAATAATCAATTAAGTGTAAAGGTATCGCTTCAGTTTCCGCACGCTTTACCCCAAGATAAATTGTTTAAGGGTGTAAGATGGATTGCGCACTGAAATTTAATCGAATGGGGTGTGAAAAGGATAGATTTTTTGGTATGGTTAGATATGTT